GACGATGAGGACCGGGAGCTCATCATGAAGCTGTTGGGGGTGAGTGAGAGGAGTTCTGCCTCCTCCTGTGCTGCGGTCATCTGGGTTGCTGGCTCTGACCACCTCTGTGTGTAACTGCAGTCTGCAGGGTCGAACAAGGAGGAGAAAGGGAAAAAAGGGAAAAAAGGGAAGACAAAAGATGAGCCAGCAAAGAAGCCACAGCAGAAACCCAAGGCTGCGCATCGGGGTGCTGGAGGGGCCAAGGAGACAGCAGGAGTCCTACTGCACGAGTCGCAGGACCCAGCCTTGGAAGAGCAGCAGGACGAGAAGGTTAGCAGCGTGCTCGCCTCGCCTCTTCTGTCCGTGTGTCTGTCCTCCCCTCTGGCTCTCCTGGAGCTGTGCGCTGCCGTTTGGCCAGGGACGCTGAGAAGCTTTGGCTCGTTTTGGGGCGCTGGGGAGAGCAACGCACCTCATGCCAGGACTCCGGGAGCCCATCGGTTTTGAGAAGTACCAGAAACCCCTGGAGCAGTGTGTGTGCATGCCACGCTCCCAGGGTGGTCAGAACGAGGGCTCTGAGGGGTGTCGAGTCCTCGCCAAGCCGCTGGGGGATCTGGTTAAGTCAACGACTCCCAGTTGGTGCAGCTAAAATGCAACTGAGAGCTCTCTAGATCTGTTGTGAGTCAGCATCTCTGAATCACAGCCCATCTCTGAATCACAGCCCATCTCTGAATCACAGCCCATCTCTCCTCCCAGGTTGGTGTATGCCAAGCACATTCATTCTGAAAGAAATACTCCTCCTCTCACCCACATAAAAATGCTCTTACTTTTGCCTTAAAATGCGTTTAGTTTCTGCAGTACGAGTGTGGACCGCTTTCTGTGGACCGCTGATAAAAGAATTGAGCTTCTCTGGGGGGACGGAAGCAGTCGCGCGTTCATTTCAGCTCTAAAGTCGCCTTTGTTTGTGTGCGCAGGAGGAGCAAGACCAGGATCAGCCAGGAGTTGAGGTAAATGCTCTTGTCTTTGAATCTCAGATAAGTGCTGAGGAAAA